AAAAAAAAAAAAAAAAAAAAAAAAACACCAGAAACTATCACCTAAATTTTCTAGTATTTAATCTATTCAAAATTTATTTTAATACTTACATACTGTGATTTAGTTTTTTTATTTCCCAGTAGTTAGCTAGTTATCCCAGTACTATCCATCCACTTAAACACTGTTAAAGGTATTTTGTCATTTGAGAATTAATTTATTCATTCTTTCTTTATTTATTTAGAGACTGGGTCTCATAATATAGACCAGGCTGCCTGTGAACTTGGTTTTTTTTGTGGTGGTACTGAGGCTGAACTGAGGTCCTCATGCTTGCTAGGCAGGCACTCTGCCACTTGAGCCACTCTGCCAGCCCATGGCCTTGAATTTGTAATCCTACCACATTCCAAATTCTGTGATTGAAGGCATGCACCATGGCGCCTGATTGAGACTGCCTTCATATCTGAAACTGTAGCCATGTCTTTTGGGAATAGCATTAAGTAATGGTGTGGCATGGAATCAGTATAGTTTATGTGATGTAAGCACAGGGAATATTGGGTAATCTTTCAACTCATTTTTAATCTTTTTAACCCTAGCCGCCTGTCTTCACCAGCTTCCAAGACTATGTTACTGGACTTCAGACTTTAATTTCCAATGTTGTAGATCACATTAAAGGGCTCGAAGCACATCTAATTGCACTTAAACTTGAAGAACTAATTTTAGAAGACACTTCTTTTTCTCTGGTAAGAGATTATAGGCAATCAGCAATGTTTTTGTTGCGTATAGTCAAATGCTATCCTTATCCTTACATTGTTTTATGTTATCCTTATAAGACTTGTGACTTGGAGCTGCTGGCTTCTGGGCTCTACTGCCCTTCTCTAGCTGAAGCCTTTCCTTTCTCTTTAATAAATCTTTTATATATATATATATTTTATATATACCAAAGAAAAACAACAAAAAGCAATAGTTTTGGGGGGGTGGGTAGTAGGTGGTGGTGGGTTTTTTCTTCCTCTTCAACACCCTCCCCTGCAATACATATTTGGAGATGCTGTACTGTTTGAGCCATTCTACTGCTCGTCCTTTTTGCTAGAGTCATTTTTCAAATAGGGCCTCATTTTTATTCCCAGGCTGGCCTGGACCACGATTCTGCATAACTGGGATGACAGGCGCAGCCCACCATGCCTCGCCTTTTATTGGTTGAAATGGGTTCTCTCTGTTTGTCCAGGCTGCTCTGAAATCTCAAACTTCCCAATTTCTACCTTCTAAGTCACTAGAAGTATAAGCATGAGCCACTGTACCTACCCTGTCTTCATCTTTTGAGCTTGGGAAAGTTTTTTGCTCTTCTGGGCTTTAATTTATCTGTAGATGTAAATGATAATAATGCCTATTTTATAGAATTATAGTAAGGATTAGGCAAAGTGATAATTGGTATATGTTGTTTGCTTTTGTTAAAGTCATGATACGTGTAGTACACGGAGCAGTAGCAGCCACCAGACACTTTCTGCTTAGTATGAGATGTGTTTTGTCTTGTCTTTTTGGCAGAATTGGGAATTAAATTCAATTCCTTCACTTGGTTATGTTTAATTTTTTTAGACAGAGTTTCACTTTGTAGTCCCTGCTGGCCTTGAAATTGCTATGTCCTGCCTCAGCCTCTTAATGTTTTATTTCTTACTGTTTTTTTGGCTGTACATAGGGTTTGAACTCAGGGTTTCATGCTTACTAGGCAGGCCCTGTACCATTTGAGCCACTCTACCAGCCTGCCTCAGCCTCTTGAATGCTGGGATTATAGACTAGTACCACCATATTGCTTTGATAACAAACCTTTTGTGTTTAAAAAAAAAAAAATCTTTCAATTCAGTTCCCTTTGGGTTTGTCTCTTTTCTGTTTCTTTTCCTTCCTTTCTTTTTTTTTTTT